CTCTTCTGTCTCAAGGACCGGCCCATAGATTTCCACTGCTCTCCTCTCCTCTGCCACATCTATTCATCTCCGCCCCCTGCCTTTTATTCCCAGAGCTAGGGTGGGGCTTTGCTAGCAATGGTGGCTCTTCTGTCTCAAGGACCGGCCCATAGATTTCCACTGCTCTCCTCTCCTCTGCCACATCTATTCATCTCCGCCCCCTGCCTTTTATTCCCAGAGCTAGGGTGGGGCTTTGCTAGCAATGGTGGCTCTTCTGCCTCAAGGACCGGCCCATAGATTTCCACTGTTCTCCTCTCCTCTGCCACATCTATTCAGCTCCGCCCCCTGCCTTTTATTCCCAGAGCTAGGGTGGGGCTTTGCTAGCAATGGTGGCTCTTCTGCCTCAAGGACCGGCCCATAGATTTCCACTGTTCTCCTCTCCTCTGCCACATCTATTCATCTCCGCCCCCTGCCTTTTATCCCCAGAGCTAGGGTGGGGCTTTGCTAGCAATGGTGGCTCTTCTGTCTCAAGGACCGGCCCATAGATTTCCACTGTTCTCCTCTCCTCTGCCACATCTATTCATCTCCGCCTCCTGCCTTTTATCCCCAGAGCTAGGATGGGGCTTCACTAGTAGCAGTGGCTCTTCCGTCCCAAAGACCGGCCCATAGATTTCCACTGCTCTCCTCTCTTCTGCCTTCTGCGCATCCGCGCATCAGGCACTGGACCCAGCTGTTCCTCCTCTTCCTCATCAGCCACCTCCAGACCTGGCGGCTGTTGACTCTCCATCTGAGGGCTGACGGATGGCCCAGGCTCCGCCTCTGTCTCTCCCTCTCTGACAGCTCCATTCCCTCTTCCCTTTCGGAGCCCTCAAGTTGCCTTGATGCCAACCCTGACTCCCACGCCTCCTCCTCCTCTGATTCGGTTGCTGGAGGGGCGGCAGCTGGCAGGCCACAATAGGTTGCCTCTTCTGGGATGATGCCATTTCTGTTGGGAAATGGTCTTCCAGTCCCTGCTCCCACCAGCACCTTCTTGGCTCTGGGAAGGCCTGTCTCTGGGCAAAACTTTGTGCCCAACAGTCTCAGTTTCCCTCTCCTGCTTCTGCCAGAAAGGACCATGCCAGGGGCAATTGCTTGCCTTCCTCTCACTCTTACTGGAAAAGCCAGGGCTTTTAATCTGACAGTTGGAAGACACGTTTCCTTGGGAGGAAAAGCTGGACGGTTTCTGCCTGCCCCATTTACGGCAAGAGTGTTCTGAGCGAGGCTTCCCAAGAGCCTGAAGCAAACTCCTTGTCCCAACAAAAACCACTTTTATTAATTGACTGTGAATTCTGCTCATTGACATCCAGCAAAGGAGGATTTACAGTCCCAGACCTTATCCGGATTGGAGAGCTGCCAGGCCGATATCTGCAAAACTTGGCAAGGAGTCTCAGAGTCACGAACCAATTAAGCGAACGAATTGCCTCCTGCAAACTCCACTCCCTTCACTTCTCTTTTATTTCCTCTGGGAGGGGCCATTCATCGTCTGGCCTTAAACCCAAGTCGACCCTTGTTCCCTAGCTGTTCCTTTCATCAGGCAACATTGTGCATACACACACTGGGAATAGGCTCCAGCTGTTCATCTGCCTCACTGATATCTGACTCTGAAGGCAGCTGATAACTGGCATACGGCTCTGTCCCCCTCTCTGCCTTCAATACAGAGCCCTCATCAGAGCTTTCCCCAGACTCCAGGACTGGCCCAGGTTCCTCCCCAACTTCCTTGCTCTCTGAATCTGTGGACAGCTCTGCCACAACGCTACCTGGGATTGGCCTCCTCGCGGATGAGGCCCAGGCCCGGAGATGTTCGGCTTGGACCAGGTCCAGTGCTCCAGATCGAGGACCCAGACGTCGCTGCTCCTGCAGGGGGAGAGCGAGATGGGAGGAACTTGGGACGGCTTTTCAGGGAGCGTGGAGCTTCAGAAAAGGAGGAGCGTTGGAGACTTACATCTGCCGCGACCCCAGAGAGCCTCCGAAGACAATCATCCGGTCCTGGATCACACAGGAGGAGTGGCCGGCCATGGGTGGAGGGCCGTGGGTGGTCACCACGCAGTTCCACCTGGAGGAGGAAGAGTAGGGTTGACACTCAAAAAGGCAATGGGTGCATGCGCTACTGCCCACCTCTTTTATCAGAGAAAACCAGGCGCCTGAAACAGCTAAACGTTACTTACCAATTTTTGGAAGGCGAGTAGGTGTGTATTTCGTCAAAGAACCTCTCCGGCTGATGCAGGGGGTAAGGGCTTGGCCGCGTCCAGCCGCCGAACAGCACCAGCAGGTCCTTATACACAACAAGGGTCGCTCCGGCCTTTGGCGACGGGTAGGAACCTGTGACGGCAGAGTGGTTTTTAAGGCGATGTTCCCAAAGAAGCTCCGGGGCTCTCGCCTGGTGGTTGAGGCTGCAGCTAAACACCACCTGGCACCTTTGGACAGAGCGGTTTCCTCCAGGGTGGATTTGATTTAAATCAAGTCGATTTGAATCACGATTTAAGTCACTAGTGAAAAGGCTCGATTTAAATCGGCTCAATTTAAATCGACATTTTTAAAGAGCCACTATCATCTCTGTCCTCCTCTGACCCTCTGTTGACTCACTGACAGTCCCAATATTACAGAATATAGATTTTGAAGAGACAAATTAAAAAAAAAGTTTTTGCACTCTGCAGACCTCACAAAAACGGCCCGTTTTTCACAAAAATGGGCCCGTTTTTGTCAAAAAAAGAGAGGGGCATGCATAGCCTCCTAAAGGCTAAGCACGGCCATTTTTGAAAAGGGGGCAGGGTTTTGGGAGGCCAAAAATGCTGCATTCAGTATATAAGACGCACTCAGATTTTCAGCTTCTTTTTTGAGGGAAAAAAGGTACATCTTATACTCCAAAAAATATGGTAAGCGCCATTTCATGCTGAACAAACTAAAGTATTAATGTATCTTAAGCAAAAAACTATCTTTAATTTTTTTTTTACTCCAAAAGCATTTTATTAAGATAAATTCGGAAACGTATGACTAGTTTTCATGTTTCTTTTTTCTTTTTTCCTAATTACTTGCAGAGGGATTATTCTTTATACTATTTAGGTTGTTTGTATTTGTTCTCATGGATTGCCCCAGTGAGGCTAAAACCAATTTTGTTGTATACATAGTATGGGCTTTATTGCCATTGCACAAAATATATACAACGAACCTGGTTCGTGATGTACAATGACGATAAAGGCGATATACTATTTTTAAAAAATCAGATTTAAACTTGAAAAAAAAAGATTTTTTATTTTTTGTTTAAAAAAAAAACATCGATTTTTATGCCCCCCCCCCCCGGTTTCCTTCCTCACCAACTGACTTGTAATAAGTCTGCCAAAACAATTGGAACTATGCAACCTGTTCGCCACAATCCATGGTTTTGTCTTCAAAGGAACACTTTATTGGAGGCAGGTGTCTAATTCTGACTTGGAGGCCGATAGACACCTCCTGCCTCCCCCCACCCCTGCCCAGCCTTTTATAGAGGTGACTAATTTTGCAGGCAGTAAAAACAGGTTCCCCCAGAACACTCTTGCTAAGATTGCTCTCTTCACAGCTATTTATTTCCCGCAGCATAAATGTGCCACTCCCTCCGTTTTGCCAAAGGCTTTAAATGAGGGAAGGGGCACTCAAGGGGGGGTAGGAGGAACAACAACAACAACAACAATGCAGGTAGTCCTTGACTTATGACCACAAAGGAGCCCAAAATGTACGTTCTTAAGCGAGAGGTTTGTCAAGCGTGTTTTGCCCCATTTCATGAACTTTCTTGCCTCCGCTGTTAAGTGAATCGCTGCAGTGGATGAGTTAGTCACCCGGTTGCGAAGTGAAATCTGGCTTCTCCCCCCGCCCCATGGACTTTGCTGGTGAGGACACGGGGGACACCGTGACCCTCATAAAATAGGAAGTGGTGGCCAAGAGCCTGAATTTTGATTCCCCCCCCCCCGATAGCGAGGATGCTGGAAAAGTCGTAACTGTGACAATGGTTGTGAGTCACTTTTTCCCCAGGGCTGTTTGAATAGTCACTGTAAGCCCAATAACGCCTAGCCCACTTGTCCGGGTAGAGGGTGGGGGGAATGTTCGGGTGCTAGTTCAGCTCAGTGGGGAAGCAGTAGGGTGAGCAGAGTGCTTTGGGCTGCTATGTTCAAAGCTACTTATCATCATCTTCTTCTTCTTCTTTTAATGACCCCATAATCTCTTGCGGAGTGGAGTCTGGGCAACTGAATGGAGCTAAGTGTTTACTGGCCCGATGCCCTTCCTGTCACCACTGCGGAGTTATAATCAGCAGCTATATTCTCATTGCTCCCAGAGAGAGAAATATCTNTCCATGGGGTTGCGATGACTTCGCAACTAACAACAACAACCCTTTCCACCTCCGTTTTGTTTTGCAGGGAGAACCCCTTTCCCCCCCTACCCACCATAATACTGTCTCTGCTCCCAATAGTTAGACAGCTGTGAAGGAGAAGAAGCTACTGGGGACGCCCAACCAAAAGGCAGAGTGGAGGAAATCAAAAGAAGGCCAGGTCCACCTCCACCTGGTTGCAAGCGTCAAGTTTCTCCCAGCATGAAGGCAGCCAGTAGTCGCCCAGCTGCTCTGTGGTGGGCAACAGCCGTGGGGCGGTGGGTGACCTCCCAAGTAGCTCTTTTCCCCAGAAATCCCTCTTGGGGCAGCTGCTGCAGCTATCGGGACCCCTCACGCCCCCAGCTGCGCCCCTCACCTGAGGCCAGGGGCCGGATCCATTCCTTGCTGTTCAGGTCAAGTCTCCAGAGGTCGTTAAAAGCTGCGTTGCAACTGCTCTGGGTGCAGCCCCCGAAGACGTACATGGACTGATTGGCATCATAGTAACAAGCACCTAGAAAGCGGCAGGGCAAAAAACAGGGTGGCTTTAGAGCGGCTTCGGCCAACACTGGGACCCCCATCCAGCCTCTGCGGGAAAGGTTAAGAGCCTGGGCTTTCCTCACTGGGCTAAGGGCCCCAAGCCAGTTAGTACTTACTGTGCGAGAAGCGCTGGGTGATGGGAGTCCCGGGATAGGGATAGGTGCGGCTCTCCCACTGAATGTTCCCTTCCTGGACGGACTTGATAAAGCCGTGGTAACACTGGTGGGCGACACCTGGAAGAGGAGGGAAAGCAGCAAGAGAGGGGGACTGGTGATGGATCTAATTTGCCTTGGGCAGCAAATGGAGAAAATCCCCCCCCCGCCTCCACAGAGCTTGCATTAGTGGCTTTTTCAACCTGGGCCTCTCCCCTCCAAGGGCAGCCCCTTAACCAGCAGCACACTCTTCCTCTTCCTCCTCCAGCAGTGTGTTAAAATGCTCAAAGCAACTGAGCCACTCTATATATCACTATCCTGAAGAACAAAACAGCTTCTACTTCTAAGGTGGGGAAAAAAAACAAGAACACGAAACAAAAGCAGAAATTAGAGGAAAGTAACCAGCCAGGCCANAAAGGCTAAGCACGGCCATTTTTGAAAAGGGGGCAGGGTTTTGGGAGGCCAAAAATGCTGCATTCAGTATATAAGACGCACTCAGATTTTCAGCTTCTTTTTTGAGGGAAAAAAGGTACGTCTTATACTCCAAAAAATATGGTAAGCGCCATTTCATGCTGAACAAACTAAAGTATTAATGTATCTTAAGCAAAAAACTATCTTTAATTTTTTTTTTACTCCAAAAGCATTTTATTAAGATAAATTCGGAAACGTATGACTAGTTTTCATGTTTCTTTTTTCTTTTTTCCTAATTACTTGCAGAGGGATTATTCTTTATACTATTTAGGTTGTTTGTATTTGTTCTCATGGATTGCCCCAGTGAGGCTAAAACCAATTTTGTTGTATACATAGTATGGGCTTTATTGCCATTGCACAAAATATATACAACGAACCTGGTTCGTGATGTACAATGACGATAAAGGCGATATACTATTTTTAAAAAATCAGATTTAAACTTGAAAAAAAAAGATTTTTTATTTTTTGTTTAAAAAAAAAACATCGATTTTTATGCCCCCCCCCCCCGGTTTCCTTCCTCACCAACTGACTTGTAATAAGTCTGCCAAAACAATTGGAACTATGCAACCTGTTCGCCACAATCCATGGTTTTGTCTTCAAAGGAACACTTTATTGGAGGCAGGTGTCTAATTCTGACTTGGAGGCCGATAGACACCTCCTGCCTCCCCCCACCCCTGCCCAGCCTTTTATAGAGGTGACTAATTTTGCAGGCAGTAAAAACAGGTTCCCCCAGAACACTCTTGCTAAGATTGCTCTCTTCACAGCTATTTATTTCCCGCAGCATAAATGTGCCACTCCCTCCGTTTTGCCAAAGGCTTTAAATGAGGGAAGGGGCACTCAAGGGGGGGTAGGAGGAACAACAACAACAACAACAATGCAGGTAGTCCTTGACTTATGACCACAAAGGAGCCCAAAATGTACGTTCTTAAGCGAGAGGTTTGTCAAGCGTGTTTTGCCCCATTTCATGAACTTTCTTGCCTCCGCTGTTAAGTGAATCGCTGCAGTGGATGAGTTAGTCACCCGGTTGCGAAGTGAAATCTGGCTTCTCCCCCCGCCCCATGGACTTTGCTGGTGAGGACACGGGGGACACCGTGACCCTCATAAAATAGGAAGTGGTGGCCAAGAGCCTGAATTTTGATTCCCCCCCCCCCGATAGCGAGGATGCTGGAAAAGTCGTAACTGTGACAATGGTTGTGAGTCACTTTTTCCCCAGGGCTGTTTGAATAGTCACTGTAAGCCCAATAACGCCTAGCCCACTTGTCCGGGTAGAGGGTGGGGGGAATGTTCGGGTGCTAGTTCAGCTCAGTGGGGAAGCAGTAGGGTGAGCAGAGTGCTTTGGGCTGCTATGTTCAAAGCTACTTATCATCATCTTCTTCTTCTTCTTTTAATGACCCCATAATCTCTTGCGGGGTGGAGTCTGGGCAACTGAATGGAGCTAAGTGTTTACTGGCCCGATGCCCTTCCTGTCACCACTGCGGAGTTATAATCAGCAGCTATATTCTCATTGCTCCCAGAGAGAGAAATATCTGCCTCTAAGGTAAGGTAAAGGTTCCCCTCGTACTTATGTGCTAATCGTTCCGGACTCTAGGGGGCGGTGCTCATCTCCGTTTCAAAGCCGAGGAGCCAGCACTGTCTCCGTGGTCATGTGGCCGGCGTGACTCAATGCAAAAGGCGCACGGAACCCGGCTACCTTCCCACCAAAGGTGGTTCCTATTTTTTCTACTCGCATTTTTTTAGCGTGCTTTCGAACTGCTACGTTGGCAGAAGCTGGGACAAGTCACGGGAGCTCCCCCCGTTACGCGGCACTAGGGATTCAAACCGCCGAACTGCCCACTTTTCTGATCGGGAAGCTCAGCGTCTTAGCCACCATGTAAACTCACAGCCTCTTGATTGTGAGGCGAGAGCGCCACCTCTAGGCCACTGCACCGACTCTCCATGCTCAAAGCTACTTATCCTCTTTCCAAATTTCAGGGGACGAGAGCAGGAGAGCCACTGCTGGGCAGAGTCCAGAGCCTCCGTCTACCTTCAACCCTGTCTCTAAGACTTGTTGAGATGTTGAAGGGGGCCAATTCCAAAGAAAGGAAGCCAAAAATACACTGAAGCCAGACCACCAGGAAGCTCTTCTCCCTCCTGAGAAAACAGGGGTGGGGGTAGTCCATTGCCCCCTCCAAAAAGCAGTACGAGAAAGGTACGTGCGGGGAGGTGGGGTGGGAGCCAGTGGGAACTTGGCGCTATTGACATGTTCAACTGAGACCTCAGGGATCCTAATTGGGAAGGGGGCTATTTATGGCCCGGGGCCTATAAAAACGAACCATCTCAGACTTTTCTAAAATAGGTAGCTAAAGTTAGAGCTGTGACACCCAGTGGGGGGGGGGGAGGGGGAGCACAATTCCCCAGAGAAAGCAACTGAATTCCGCAGGATGTGGATAAAGCAAAGGCCTGGCCCCAAAATAGCCCCCTTTGCCCGCTGGGGTTCTTCAGAAAACAACCCAAACATCAGGGGAGCCCTAGCAGCGATCAAGGGGAAAAGGGGGGCAATGAGGACCCTCCGGGTTACCCCAAGGCCCATGAAGAGGCAGGCGACAGGCTCCCTTTCCTACCAGTCTGAGGCCCGTGTCCCGTAAGAGAAACAACCCCTTGCTTTCATTTGCCGGAAGGAAGCCTGTCTTTGCGAAATTCAGCTCTCACGGTTATTTAATCACGCCGATTGTGTGTGTGTTGGGGGGGGGGGGAGGAGAAAACAGTCTCCGGAAAACTATAATTGCTGCTCTCCTTAAGCAGTAAAGTTTTCTGGGTTTTTTTTTTTTTTTTTGAAAAGCAGCATTTCAGAGGGAAGTGTGAGAGAGGCGCAATTTAGCTCTAAGAATGTTTTGCCAGGAATCTGGGAATTGAGGGAATGGACAGCCGAGGGTAGAAAGACACTACAGAGGGTGGCGAGCAAAGCACAAAATATTGTGGGGTCCCATTCCCCCCCCCCCCCCGATACCATTAGATGACATCGCTAGGGCTCGCTGCCTTAGAAGAGTGAGAGAAATCCTCAGGG